GGAGTGGTCAGTGAGTCAGGAGGATTGAGTGTCCAAGGCCAGCTTGGGCAACCTGGTAAGAGATGTTTTGAAAAGAGAGGGAGGGAGGGAGGGAGGGAGGAAGGAAGGAAGGAAGGAAGGAAGGAAGGAAGGAAGGAAGGAAGGAAGGAAGGAAGGAAGGAAGCAAGAAAGAAAGATGGGGGATGACACAGCCGTTAAGAGCACTGACTGCTCTTGTAGAGGACCCAAGTTTGATTCCCAAGACCCACATGGCAGCTAACAATCGTCCCTAACTCGAGTTCCAGGGGATCAAATGCCCTCTTCTAACCTCTGTTGGCGTTGCACAACATGGGTGAACTTACATGCAAGCAATGCATTCATTGCTCATGAAATAATAATAAATAAAAAAATTGTTAAAAGAAAGAAGGAGGGAGGAGAGAGAGAGAAAGAGAGAAAGGAAGGAAGAAAGGGAAGTTCAAACTGGGCGTGGTGCACATGCCTTGGGGGTGGGGGGCAGAGGCAGGAGAATCTCTGTGAGATGGAGACCAGCCTGATCTACATATACAGAGTTCCAGGCCAACTGAGGCTACAGGGAGACCCTGTCTCAAAATAACCAAAAAAAAAAAAAAAAAAAAAAAAAGGAATAGAAAAGGAATTTCAATAGTGAGCAAAATATAAGATGAAAGTATAAATATATGTATGCTTCCAAACTGCCACAAGTCAGTTTTGAGTGCATAAATAAAAGTATAATAGTAGGGGCTGGAGAGATGGCTCAGCGGTTAAGAGCATTGACTGCTCTTACAGAAGACCCGGGTTCAATTCCTAGCACCTATATGGCGGCTACGAACCATCCTTAACTCCAGTTCCAGGGGAATCCGAAGCCCTCTTCTGACCTCTGAGGCATTGCATGACACAGGTGCACTCACATACATGCAGGCAATACACTGATACACATAAAATTTTTAAAAAAGTATAATAGTAAAAGAACATGTAATTGAAAGCTCTGGATTCGAAGAAGAATCTCAACCACATTATACTTTATTATATCTGCTGTGTTTATTTTTTTTAAATTATGGACTATAAAATTATAAATTCTGAGTTATTTCAAATATACAGCACATAATACAACAGCTCTTTGGTACTGGGGTTTGTTGTTTTGTTTTGCCTAATTTTGGCTAGACTTGATCATTTAGCCTCTGCTTCCAGGGTGCTAGGATTACAGGCATGCACCACACCTGGCTTCTGTAATAGTTTGAATGTACATTGGATTGTAGATGATAGGGTACTGAGTGTAGTTATATTCGACTTCCAGATTACTTCAGTCTCACGAAAATACGAAACTCATCAATGTAAGGTGCTTCTCCCAAGATACTTTCTGTGTTTTTAAAGAGAGCATAAGTACTCTGTGGTTTATTTTTAATTCTTTTTCTTATGTATAGGTGTCTGGCCTGCATGTATGTATACCATGTGCATGCGTGCTGCTCAAGGAGGCCAGAAGAGGGTGTCAGATCCCCTGGAACTAGAATTACAGATGATGGTGAGCCACCATGTGGGTGCTAGTAACCAAATCTATGTTCTCTGAAATAACAGGAAGTGCTCTTAACCACTGAGTCATCTCTGCAGCTCTAAATTTATTTTTCACTTTTATTTATTTATGCATATGTGTCTCTGTATAAGTGTTCCACGTTGCCCATGTGGACATCAGAGGATTTTCGACCATGTGGGTCCTGGGATCAAACTCATGTAGTCAGGTTTGGCACAGGTGCCTTTAATCATTGAGCCATCTTGTTGACCACAGTGTAAAAATTTTAAAGTATTTTTATTACATTTGTTTCTTTTGTGTGTATGCGTGTGTACACCCACTATGTACCAAGGGACAGTGTGGAAGTCAGAGGACAACTTGTGGGAGTTGATGCTTTCCTTCCACCATGTGATTCCTCAGGATTTAGCTTAAGTCATTAAGCTTACTGTTCTTCTAGAGGACCCAAGTTCCATTCCCAGCTCCCATATCTGGTAGCTCACAACCTCTTGTAACTCTGGTTCCAGAGAGAAGCAAGCATTGTTAACTGCTGAGCCATCTCTCCAGCCTTGGCTTTATTTACTCGTAAAACAAAACAATCCTACTGGTTTGTGCTACCTCAGCAATGAAAACCTCTTATAGTGTCTCTACCAAATCAGTGTGGTAAAAGTGAACTGCCTGACAAGGGTACAGCACAAAGCCTGAACAGGCTCCACTTTGTAACACATTGCATGGGGGCAGGTAGCTCAGGGTTTTAAGACTGTGGTGGAAGGAGATTGCCTTTATTTATTTATTTATTTGTTTGTTTATTATTTATTTTTGGTCTTTTTGAAACAGGGTCTCCCTGTAGCCCCAGCTGGTCTGGAACTCACTATGGAGACCAGGCTGGCATTGAACTCACAGAGTTCCACCTGCCTCTGTCTGCCAAATGCTGGGATTAAAGGCGTGTACCACCATGCCAGGCTAGAAGGATTGTCTTCTAAATGGGGATGTCTCCTGGGACTGTTTATATGCAACAGGAAAGTGTGTGGGCACTGAAATTTCTCTACATGTCAGAGACCAAGTAAGTGGTTGGTCATTTCCCAGAAACATCTGGAGATGAGAAAAAAAAATAATCTAACTGTAAATTTCAACACTTTTGAAGATGAGAACACCAGCACAATATTGTTCTTCCAAATGAGCTCTTTCCAGAATGTAATAGGGCACCTTCTTGACCATAGCTACACCATGTTAAAGTTTAGGCTGACTCTAGTCTCTGAAACTGTCAGGCAGTTGGCCCAGGGTATGGGAACACATCAGCTGGACCATGGTTGTCTTGGGAACAGGTCAGACTGCCCCAGAGTGTACCTGCTAACTGCAGATTTATGGCTTCTGTAGGTTATACTTGGCTTGCTTCTGCAAAATAGTAATTGTTAGTTAATAGAATAGAAATTGTTAAGGGGACTCTCTACCTGTAAGGTTGGGAACTTAAGCTTTTCACCCCTAGTTATGGGGTTTTTCGCACCTTGGGTTCCTGACACCCTTGTGTAGTAGTAGCCTTTACCAGTAACGACTTTCAGTCAGCAAAACTTTGTCTGAGTGGTCTTCTCTGGTGAAGCACCCCATGAGACCATGCCACACTCTCTAGTCCAAAGTCATGTTTCAATGCCATTTCTTCCATGTCTTCCCTTCTGAAAATTGCCAGCTACAAATTCTGACACGCCAAGGGCTCAGTTACATTTGCCCAACCAAGAAAAGGTAAAAACAGATCCGGGAGCCGATAAAGGCTATAGACATGTTCCTACTCCGTTGGTGTGCTGCTGTTTATGGAGAGAACTCCCTTTAAGATGCTAATAAGCTCCCCAACTTCGTTATTTTGTTCTCCTTCCAAGTACAAAGCACAGATGTTTTGGCATGTTTTAGAACGCAGTGTGTGGGCGGGGAACTAGCATGCTGGGCAGGTGAGGGCACTGAGCAATTTTCATAAGCTATGATAAAGGACCAGCCCTTAGCTTGGAAGCTTAACTGAAACTTCCAGAGACTAGGGTGAGAATTCACTGAACAAAATAAGAACACTGGATTGGACCACATCCTAGTATCTAAATGAGATAAATAGTGTTTGCAGAATCTATTTATTTATTTATTATTTATTTAGATAGGGTCTCCCTGTAGCCTCAGCTGGCCTGGAACTCCGGATATAGACCAGGCTGATCTGGATCTCACAGAGATCCGCTTGCCTTTGCCTGCCAAGTGCTGTGATTAAAGACAGATTCCATCACTCCTACTATGGCTATTTTATTTTTGAAATGGGGTACTGAGTCTTACTATGTAGCCCTGACTGGCCTGTAACTTGCTCCGTAGACCAGGCTGACTTGGAACTCGCAAGAGATCTACCCACCTCTGTAAGTGCTGGGATGAAAGACCTGTGCTTGCATAATTTTTGTGTGTAAATGGTGCTAAGAATTAAACCCATAATTTATTTATTTGGTCTTTGAGATAGGGCCTCTCTGTATCCCCAGCTGGTCTGGAACTCACTATGTAGACCAGGCTGGCCTTAACTCAGAGATGGGCCTGCCTCTGCCTCCACGTGCTGGGATTAAAGACATGTGCCTCCACGCCCCACTGAACCCATAACTTTGTAAGCACTAGGTGGGGTATCAATGAATCCAGACAGACTCTGAATTTTCTTGTTTGTTGAGACAGAGTCTCAGGTAGATACCATTGAGCTATACCCCTAGCTCCATTCTATCTTGCACTTTTTGAGACTGGGGCTTGCTAAATTGCTCCAGCTAGCTTCTAATTGCATCCTGCTGTGGTCTCCTGAGTAGACAGAATTACAGGCCTATGCCATAATGCCTGGCTGTGTAAAATTCTGAACTATGGAAAACAGATTATTGTCAATCACCTACTGAAAATCTACAGCATTTTACTTGATATGGTGGCACAAGCCTGTGATTTCTTAGCACCTGATAGGTAGTGTTAGGACCAGGAATTCATGCCTGGCTAGCTTCAACTACATAGCAAGTTTGAGGCCAGCCTTGGCTGTATAACCGCCCTTTCTCAGAACAAAAACAAAACACAAACAAAAACGGGGGGGTGGATAAGGAACAATTAAGAAGGAAAAAAAGCTGAGCGTGACCGATAAACCTGTAATCCCAGCACACTTGGAAATGGAGGCAGAAAGATCAGGAGTTCAAGGCCAGCTTGGACTACCCTATCTCAAAAAACAAATGGTTCAAGGTCTGCCTGGGTAGTTCAGTACTAGCCCATCTCAAAAAATATATATAAGACAAAAGGAACAGAACATAAAATTTCCCATTTCTGGAAGGATCTACATTGTATGCTTCTTGGGACAGGAAATCCAGTCATTCAACCATTCCTTATTAATGTCTCCTGCTTCTGCCTCCCAAGTGCTGGGATTAAAGAATTTTATTTACCAAAGTCCTTATAATCATTGATTATATCTTTGATAACCTTGAATAGATGCAGTAGGTAAGTTTAAAAATCATACAGGACATTCAGCTATCTTTATACTAAATTAAAACTTTATTGAATAAAGAACACTCTCCAGAGCACATGATTGGATGGGCTAGGTCTACGTTACATGCAATGAAGCTGAACTTGACAGTAGTTTAACATGGAATGTCAAACAAATTAGTATTTTTCTATTGTACAAAACCATTTATGTAGCTGACATGCAAGAAAAGTATGAAATTCAACATTCACCGATCATCTGTGATGAACTACAAAACAGGCACTCGAAGAAACTGGTAGATGTCTTTAGCATATGGTTCAAATAAATTAGTTACATGTGTACTACGGAAACCTCTTTCAACCCCTCTTGCATTCCAAATAAATTCTTAGTGCAAACAAAGTTGCTGGTCACGCTAAGACTGTCAAACTTGGAATACAAGTTTTGAATTAATGTATAGTTAAGTAGGACAAAACCAGAATACCAGTTACTGCAGAATTCACTTAGGCACTTGACTAGTCCACTCTAAGCATTTTTTCTAATTCTCTCACAATGACTAAAGCCTGTTTACAGTACTAAAATTCTATCATTCAAGCATCAATGATTATATTTCAGAGAAAGGAAATCATTCATTTCAGTAATAGCATTACTGCTACATTCTAAAAAAGAGAAAAAAATAATCACAATTAACAAAACCAGTATCCATAATAGGATACATGGGAAAAAAATATTTTAGGAAAAAAGTTGTGTTTGACTTGCACAGCAGGAATTATATAATGTAAACACCATATTGGCCCACACCACAAAAACCCATGAGGAAGGTTAATTTGAACACTGTGTGTGCATTAGATTCAAATCTGAAATTGTGAGTCTATACTGTATCTGCTTGTACCAATAATGAAAATAAAACACACTACACACACACCTGCACATACACACAGAGAAGTGATTGTTAAACATTGACCATGGCTTGCTTCCCTGATGCTAATTCAACAAGAAACCACTAAATGACATCCTATTTAAAAAATGTTGACAGAAACCATCCGGTGAACGTGAGGAGCAGCTGAGGAATGATGAACCAGTGATGGTGACGTGATGGTGGAACGGATGTGAAGAACCAGCTGAGATGCAAATGCATGGGAAATCTTTTTCTGTGAGCCTTGTCTGAATTTGTAATTGATAATCGGAATAAAAATATATATATATATTAGCATAAATCCATTGACGCCTGGAGGGTCAAGGCCTAGAAAGCTTACCTTCAAAGTGCAAATTTTAACAATGGAATGTTTTATCAGGGACAGGACAATGTTCTGTCTTTTTGTGCTGAAAGAAAATACAAAGTTGGGGAAGTATTTATTTGTGGCCAAAGCTATTTCAGTTTCTTGGTAAAACAAAGATAAAAAAACAAAGATAAAAATTATCACCCATTCTCTCACATATACAGAACCATTCTTAGGGGTATTGGCTGTGGGGGGAAGGAGAAAGCCCTTACCTATGTTCACCCAATGTGAATCTTATTTAGAATTTAAGCTCCTTGAATCTACTACATTAAATACCAGCATGTACCTCCCTTATCGCCACCTGCTCCACCCACCTATCCCAGACACCCCCAAAGAACCTAGGTATTGTAATGTCTTTGTTTACTAAGCCTCATGACTAAGGCTGTTGAGTACCACCTCTACCAAACAAAATGAACACCTCAGGTGCGCTTTCTATAGCACCTTTTCTTCCTCCTCCACAATGAGTGGCATCTTGATGCTCAAAAGCCTGGCTAGATCTCCAGGTCGTCAGGCCGAGGTCTGCTGCTGGCACGGCTGCTGGCTCTGCTTGAAGGTCGTTGGTCCACAATGGCTAATGGCTGGAGCTCATGTCCAGCAGCAATTTTTTTGGCATTCTGGTTATCATCGGGGAAATCAAAAGGCTGGGCGTGGGAGTTGGAGATGGTGCTTCCTGCCTGACCCATTCGATTTTGCTCGGCGCTGTAATTAGCCCAGTTCTGCTCACTCGCTTGCTTGTTGTAATTACGGCAGGAAGAATTGTTTCTGTCGCCAGTAACCAGCTTGTACCCAGGAGGGGACATAGGTGAGAGAGGAGCGGTTGGAGAGGAGCAGCCATTGAAATAGGCGTATTTTGGAGATCCACAGTCTTTAGAGGGGCTCAGAGGGCCAGTCGTGGCATGGTAAGGGTCACTCCTGCCCTTCACACGATCCTTAACGCCCTTGAAGAAGACATAGAAGAGTTCGATGATATTCAAGGCAAGAGACACCAAGGACACCACCAGCATGAAGATAATGAAGATGGTTTTCTCTGTGGGACGGGAGAGGAAGCAGTCCACCTGATGGGGGCAGGGGTCTCGTTTGCAGGTGTAGACGGCACTCAGGCTGAAGCCATAGATGTACCACTGGATCAGCAGGAAGGCCACCTCGAAGACCGACTTGAAGAGGATACTGATGATGTAGGTTCTCAGCAGGCCCCCTCTCATCTTCACCTTCCCGTGTTCTTCAATCCCATACTTGAACTTCTTGATTTCAATCTGCTTCAAGTGCATCTCCACGTTCACACCATCCGTCTGGGCCACTTTGAGCTCCTCCTCTTTCTTATTCAGTTTCTCTTCCTTTCTCATCACGTAGAACACATGAGCCAGGTACAGGAGTGTGGGCACAGACACGAATATGATCTGAAGGACCCAGAAGCGCACATGAGAGATGGGGAAGGACTTGTCATAGCAGACGTTCTCGCAACCAGGCTGCTGAGTGTTACAGCGAAAGGCCGACTGCTCATCACCCCAAGCTGACTCCACCGCTGTCCCCAGCAGCAGGATTCTGAAAATGAAGAGGACTGACAGCCACACCTTCCCTCCTGCAGTGGAGTAGGCCTGGACCTTGTCCAGGAGTTTCCCTAAGGCGCTCCAGTCACCCATGTCACCTGGGCAACTCCTGAGGGGGGAAAAAAAAGTGATTACAGACTGCAAATTGGTAGTTTCATATATGGCAGATTGTCTCATAGCTTTCTGGCATTTTTCAAACCCAAACAAACCTCAGGGGAAAATTCTATTGCATTTTCCAACCATTTTTCCAAAGATAAATTTAATTCTGAGAAGTGACAGCACCTGGGCCAGTCAACTGCAGCCTCAGCCAGTGGAAGATGCATTGCTGCACTGCCACCTTGCCATGGTACCAGCAGGGTGGTCTCTGCTAAGTGCCTCTGCTTACTTCACCTGTCTTGTAAATAAGGACAGTTCCTGCCTAGGAGGCCTGGGTCCGGATACATGTCTAAGCAAAGCGCTGATGTATTATTCAGAGAATAGGTGTATAAGAATTAAGGTAAGGCTGTCCAAGGACACACCTAGCAGCAAACCTTGGTTCCCAAGATACTAGGATGTACCATTTTATTCCTAGTTTTACTCTAATTTTACTCAAGCTTGCAATTTGTGCATATTCTGTATTAAGGTTATCTATAAATCTCTCTCTTCCTCCCCTTCTTTGACAGGGTCTCTACTACTTAGCCTAAGCTGGTTTTGAACTTTCAGTCCTCCTGCCTCTGCCTCCAGAGTGCTGGGATCCCAAGCATTTGCTCCCAGTCCTAGCATGCTTCCCAGCATGAGAAAGGAGGACTGCTATGAGTTCGAGGCTAGCCCGAGACTGGTCCCAATTAAAAAACAAAGCAAAACAAAAAACAATAAAAACCGTAAGAATCCCTAAAGATGAAACACACACTACATTTCAACTGAATTCAATTCGTCTCAGTACCACTTAGTAGCTTGATAAATGAAAAAGGACCATGTCAGAGCATCTTCAAGCAAAGAACATTGGTTTTCATCTGTTTTGTTTGGTTGGTTTTGGTGTTTTTGAGACAGGGGTCTCCTTGTTTCTTCCTGTTGCTCCAGTTGGCCTCAAACTCACAGAGGCCTCCTTGCCTCTGCCTCCGGAGTGCTGGCACTAAAGATGTGCGCCACCATATCTGGTGGTTTTCTTTCTTTTTTTTAAAATGTTTTTTAAAATTGTATTTATTATTATTTTTATTTTATGCGTATGCGTGTATTGCCTGCATGTACGTAAGTGCACCCGTGTCGTGCTGTGCCCTCGGAGGTCAGAAGAGGCTGTCGGATCCCCTGGGACTGGAGTTACGGACAGTTGTTAGCTGCCTTGTGGGTGCTGGGATTCAAACACGGTCTTCTGCAAGAACAACCAGTGTTCTTAACCGCTGAGCCATCTCTCCAGCCCCACATCTGGTGGTTTTCAACTTTTGATGTTTTATCTTTTACGGTTCTCTTACTGGGCTTCGGGCCCTTGAGCCTATATATTTGCCTAAGGTTAAAGTACCATGTATGTAGCCAGGTGTGATGTCTCAACATCTGGAATTTTGCTCTCAGAGGATAGAAAAAAGAGGCTCACTATAAATTTGAGGCCAGCCTGGCCCCACATAGTGAGACATTACTACGGCAATCACTGCACCAAATTATGTAAGGTTTATCATCTACAGAGGCAAAGGAAATGTTATGTTTAGTAACTGAGATGATTGTATGGATTTTCTACTTTGAAATAAGCTGCACTTAGGATTAGTCACAGAATGTGAACTATCACTTTAGCTTCTGGACAAAGACACTTGATTGGAATTCAATCCATTCACTTTAGTTCACACAAAAAAGACAAAACAAACAAACAAACAAACAAACAAACAAACAAACAAAAAACCAAAGCAGGGCTGGCAAGATGGCTCTACCCAGTGAAGGTATGTGCTGCTAGGTAGCCTGACAACCTGAATTTGAACCCCGAGATTCACATGGTGGAAGGACAGGACCAGACTTACAGAAGTTGGCCTCTGACCTCCACATGTGCATATCAACAAACATGCACACACACACAAAATAAGTGCAATAAAAACTATCAAAACCCAACACATGTATCAAACACACACACACACACACACACATACACACCACTGGACATAGTGATATATGCCTATAATCTCAGCACTTGGGAGGTGGCGGCAGGAGGACCAGAATTTCAGTCAGCTTCAGCTATATGTAGGTATTTAAGTCCAGCCTAGTTTACACATGATACCCTGTCTCAAAAACAACTACCTTACACACCTTTTTTTTTTTTGTCTCTTTGAGACAGGGTCTCCCTGTAGCCCCAGCTGGCCTGGAACTTGCTATGTAGACCAGGCTGGTCTTGAGCTCACAGAGATCCACCTGCCTCTGCCTCCCAAGTGCCAGGATTAAAGACCCTATACACTTTTAAACCTAGGACGTCTCTATTGACTTGAAAAGAGACCAGTCTTTAGAACTGACATGGATCACAGAAGTTACCCAATCAATTTATGCTTCTAATTGCCATTGGTCTGTTTACATTAGGAAAACTGGGGTTCTAGAGATATTGAAACAGCTGTCTGTATGCTCAGAAGACTTATGGTCCTTAGACCCAAGCATGCCAGTGAGCACACACTGGCTTTAAATGTTGGATACTGGGGCGTCCATGTGCTGATATACACAGTCTAAAAGGATTAGAGCCTGGGACAAAGTAACAGCAGGCATAGGCTTGTTTTCAGCAGAGTATTATCAATTGGAGGGTTTCAGAAAGGATGAAGTAGTCAGAGGTCACTCAATAATTAAAAACAAGCAAAATAAAGACTTTTTAGGAATTAATAAATTTGGAATTGTGTAACAAAAGTAGGACTATGGAGGTTTCTTATAAACAAATGTGCCCACTATCTGAACATAAAGGAGGTCTCATCTGCTGAACTACAGACATTTATATATTCCTTGAACTCCAGGGGAGTTTTCTTCTGTACCATCCATTACATTTCTATCTAGTGACTATGTGGCCCTGGAAGAATGAAGTGGAAATCCAACCTAAGATTTTCTGGATGGCTGATCCATCAAGTTACACTATGCACCAACGAGCAGTCAAGGGGTTCATTAAAAAAAATAATAATATAAGCTGGGCATGGTGTCACATGCCTGTTATCCCAGGACTTGGGAGGCAGAGGTAGGCGGATCTCTGAGTTCGAGACCAGCCTGGTCTACATAGAGTTTCAGGCCAGTTGGGGATATAGGGAGACCCTGCTTCAAAAAGATAAAACAAACAAACAAAACCCCAATTTCACACATATACATAATACCCTTCGATCATACTCCCCTCCCCCTTGAACCACTTCTTCCCAGCAAGTCCTCTTTTAATTCTCTCTCTCTCTCTCTCTCTCTCTCTCTCTCTGTGTGTGTGTGTGTGTGTGTGTGTGTGTGCGCACGTGCATCTAATTAGGTTTGCTTGCATGATCATTGGTGGAGATTACCTACTTGAGCAAGAACAACTTATCACTGAGGAATGAGACTCCCCATCTCCCAGATAGCAACCATTAACTGTCTATAGAGTTCCTGAGGGAGGGGTGGGTTTAAGAACCTCTCCCATCTCCAGAGGTACATTTCATGATGGCCAGAGACAGGTGCCAAAGAACACTGGACTAAGAGCAGGAGGTGGGTGAGCAGGCCCACAGAAAAAAATGACTTTCGGGAAAAAAAAAGTTTTCTCAATAGTCATAAACAAAAGGCTTCCTCCTATTTTTAGAAAGTTCATTTCAGATATTGAAATGACAATTCAGAAAGTGAAACTGTGGTGTGAAGATAGTCAAACAAGAGCAAATGCTGGCAGAATCCACAGAGTTAAATAGCTAAGGGAGGCTTGAAGTAAAGGAAGCAATTTTAGTGTCAGTAGATAGTTTGATGGTGAGAGAGAGCATAAAAAAAAAAAAAAAAAAAAAAAAACACCCTATAATTTAGTAGAAAATACTAGCCAGGAACGAAGTACAGTCCACTAGGGTCAAACAAACATAACAGAATCTTTGGAGTTGTATCAATAGACAGTTTCTATGTGATGATGTGTAAATTGGCCCTAACTCTGTTTGTAAGGAATTATAATATTCTGCCAGGGTCATCTGCTTTTGCTCAGATATCCAATTGTTGGGGGGAAAATAACAAAAGCTATCAGGTATAAAATGATCATCTGTCTGCATCCATCAACACGTTCACATAGCAATAGATCAAGACAAAGAGGCAGGTCAGTAATACAGTCAGCACTTCCCTGCTCTTCCAAGTAATAAGGATGTGAGATGTTGATGGTGTGGCATTTCATTATTAAGTTCTTTTCTTGGGTGGGAGATCTTTTTTGAGACAGGGTTTCCCTGTAACCCCAACTGGCCTTGAACTCACTATGTAGACCAGGCTGGCCTCGAACTCACAGAGATCCACCTGCCTCTGCCTCCCAAGTGGTGGGACTAAAGGCATGTGCCACCACGCCCGGCTCATTAATCAAATTCTTTATATTCCGGAATAAGAAACTTGATTTTCATGTTATTCTTAGATTCCACAATATTCCTAGTACCAGAGCATGTGAACTGGGTCACTAGTCAGTTCTCTGGGTAGCAGTTTTTTTTTTTTTTTTACTGCACCAGCAATTTAATTGCAAAGTCTGTCTTTTCTTTAAACACCCACGCAGCACTCATTTGCATTAATGAGTTATAGTCTTTCATCTGAATAAGATATGAATTACCCAATTGGACACCTTAGCTCCTGTAACATGCAGACACCCGTCATTACCATTATCACAGACATCATCAAATAGCATTTAATATGATGTCTCATCTTGTGACTCTAAGCAGGAGGTACCAGATATAGTTAACTTTCTGCTTTTAGTTGCTCACCTTGTCGCCAAACTTTTTTTTGAGGGGGGCTGTCTTTTTGAGACAGGGCCTTCCTGTAGCCCCAGCTGTCCTGGAACTCACTATGTAGACCAGGCTGGCTTTGAACTCACAGAGATCCGCCTGCCTCTGCCTCCTGAGTGCTGGGATTAAAGGTGTGCGCCACCATGCCCGGCCAAAATATTTTTTTAAAAAAAGAAAAATGAATGCCCTTTTATAAGGGCACGATTATGTTTACAGA